TGGGCATACTGGTTATACTGTGCCTGTAGCGCGATTCTGTAACTTGTTATGTCGTCGTTACGGGCTTTGCGCAGCTTTTCTACGGTATATTAGATCTGCGCAAAGCCCGTAACGACGACATAACGAGTTACAGAATCGCGCTACTGGACCGGCAGCAAATCGGCGAGGTGTCGGCTCGCGGGGCAGACCGGTCGTCGGTCCGTTCGATGTCCATTTCTACCAACGTAGATTAACCATAGACATAATATATCTAGACTGAGCATTGAGCAGTGGGGGGTAGACGTTCACGTAGAAAAGGACAAACTCTGTTTCGTGCGCTATTTCGTTCTCTCTTGTTCTCATGTCTATGAGATTAACTCGTGGCCGTGTCGGCTCAGCGGTTGAGCCGGGAGCCATAGGAAAGAAGAAGAAGATGAGATTAACTCAGAGAGTCAACTCTGTATCTTAAGCCCGCTGCAGACGATGCTATTTTTCCTGCTGGATTGCTTGCGATTTACTAAATTACTAGGAAGCCTGATTGCTGAATGGTGCAACGATAGTAATTTATTAGATTGCAAGCAATCCAGCAGAAAAAATAGCATCGTCTGCAGCGGGCTTTACACTATAGTGAAGATGCTCAAAGCGAGTAGCTTTATCTCTTTCTAACCGTCCCCCCCCCCTTAGAAAGAGACGAAGCCACTCGCTTTTAGCATTTTCGCCATATCGTAAAGTATACAGAATCGACCCTCTGATCGCGGTTCAGCTCGCTCGTCATCTTTCGCCAGTCCTGAAAGTAAAGGCCTTTGCACGTAAAAAAGCATTAACCGTAAAGCCCGTATCAGACTACGGATTGGGATTGAGATTAGATTGAAATTTGACCAATCAGAGTAAAAGTTACTGAACTTAAGATTAGTAAACTTTACTGTGATTGGTTAAATTTCAATCTAATCCCAATCCCAATCCGTAGTCTGATACGGGCTTAACCGTAATTTTAGTCCATAACCTACGGACCCTACGTAATTTTAGTCCGTAACCTTCGGAATTTTACTTGGGTTGCTCCATCTGTCTGTACGTGTTGAAAACTACGATTACGGACTAAAATTACGGTTACGGTTAACGCTTTTTTACGTGCAAAGGCCTTTAGAAATTAAGGATACTCCAGCGGCGAGAGTCGGAATCGAGAACCGAAGCTAATATCCGCGTCGACTTCTTTCTCCCTTACTGGCGTTCGCCATTTTTAAAAGGAGCCCGCGCGACTACGCCATTGAGGGGGGGGGGCAGCCGTGGGGGCGGCTTGTGCGCGAGGCGGGGGAGGCGGCGAGGTACCAAAGTGCGCGGCAGCGCGGCGAGGTAGCGCGCGCGCGAAAGAGAGAGAGGTGGTGGTGGTAGGTGCGTGCGTGCATATACGACGTTCGCTCGCCCGCTCTCGCTCATCCGTCCGTCGTGACTTCAGTGATTCGCCGTGCCCGGGGACCGACGACTCCCGACGAGGTGGTGCGTCGCGAGGATCCGCAGACGTCGTGCTCCAAGGGCGTGTGCCACCGCGCCGCCGTCAGCTCGTGAAGAAGGCGCACACGGTCTCTCGCTCTCGCGCGCTCTCTCTGTCTCTCCATCCCCGCCCCGTCCCGCTGCAACTGGACTCGACTCGACTCGCGACCCCCCTGGTGTCCCGTGTGGAGCCCGTCCTGTCCCCGTCCCGTTCGCAGACCAGGGTGAATTACAATGTGAAGCGGAGAAGACTTCTGTCTTTCTCTCTCTCTCACTCGCGTTTCAGTCCCATCCCTTTCCGCCCGCGCGAACCGCAGGAGGGCGGACACCGTGACGGTTGTCCAGGGTGAGAAGCGCGCGCGAGGGAAAACCCTCTCCCCGACCTACGGGCTGGTCTCGTCCTGACGGCGGCGACGTCGAGGTCTACGGTGCGCCACGGGTTGACAGTCGCGGTCGGCAAGCATGTCGGGCTTGCCGCAGGTGTCCAGCGGGCTGAGCAAGCTGAAGAAGAAGCACTTCCGGGTGAAGCACCAGAAGGTTAAGCTGTTCCGCGCGAACGAGCCGCTGCTCAGCGTGTTTATGTGGGGTGTCAATCACACGGTAAGACGGGGAAACGGGATCGCGCTACGCCGCGTCGCGACGACGTCGCCCCGCTCTCTTCTATTTTCATTCGCGTCCGTCGCGGCCCGTTGCGTCACTGCCCGTCGAAACGGAGCCAGCGTAATACGCGCGCTCGGACGCGCTCCGCGACGCGACGCGTCGCGCCGATCCGCCCGAGTGAATTCACCGCGCAATTTGTGCCAATTGCCCTTTAATTCCGTCACGTGCAGCGTAGCGTAGCTACCGCGGGCGAGGTGCGCGGACGACGCGTCCTTCGGGCTCGTCGCCGCGCGGCTCGCTCGAACTCGATTAACCGAACGTTGATTAATTAAGCCTGACTGCTGTTAACTTTTTCCTGCATTGCAGATAAACGAACTTAGTCACGTTACCATTCCAGTAGTGCTCTTGCCAGACGACTTTAGAGCTTACAGCAAGTTGAAAGTGGATAATCATCTCTTCAACAAGTAAGTCTTGCCTCTCCTTTAATCTTCATATCGCGTGTAACATCGATTCCTTCTCTCTCTCTCTCGGGCCATATTTTGCTAATTGTAAACGTACACGCGTCTATACCCGTTTTCTAAATATACTCGAGCAAACTGTACACGTGTAACGAGATAATCTTAGAGATATATTTCGACGATATATTTGCCTATTATATTTCTAACGCTCGGTGCTGAGCCAATGCGCTGGCAGCCGCTCGCAATTTTTGAATCCGTTTATGTTAATGCAGAGATGCTCACGCGCAATCCGCTCTTTTCTTTTTGCAGAGAGAACATGCCCTCCCACTTCAAAATCAAAGAATATTGTCCGTTAGTCTTTAGGAATCTGCGAGAAAGGTTTGGAATAGATGATTTGGATTACAAGGAGTCGATGACAAGGTAATACCCGCAGCGTCGATTATCCTCGCGCAGATCTCGATGGTATGACACTATGTAGAGTACACGACAAATGCACCGTCACTTTGCGCAAAGTCGAGGATAAGCTCGCTCTCGCGGCCGCAAGTGATCTCGGGATGTTGGCTGCGAATGGCTTTGTAATGTGAGGATTTTGATGTGGTAGATGTCGGGTGTTTAATCCCTCGCGAGCGAGGCAGCGTACGGATTTGGTCGAGGGAGTAGGCAGAAGAACTCGTCAGTTGGTTCAGCGCGCCGCTACCGTCCCGTCGATTACCTTCTCCTCTCCCTCTTCTGCCTCCCCGTACAATTCTATTCTAAACAAACCGCTGCGTACCTACAGTTTTAAACCGAAACGCCTGAGGTTAGCAAAACTTGATTTTGCCATGCTGTGCGTTTTCGTCATTTCTAACAAAGTTGGAAGAGGCCTACCCGGAGGGGGCGAGAGATGAACGGCGTGACTAAGCATAACAATTCATTAATACCTTAACGATCGCTTGATTCAGACTGCGGTAGTCTAAAACACTTTGCGAGTGGACGCTACCACTGTGAGCTTTGTCCAATTTAAAGCATGGTGAGAGAGAAATATTCTAGTCGAATCATTATCATTAAAAAGTATCGCTCGCTGAGATAACCAAGATAATTAACAAGTCAAATGCTTCGTATCGGCGACGCGATGGTGGCAGTAACGATAACGATAATCATCCGATTGATCATAACAAGAGTGAACGGGATATCAAAGGGGCGACGAGAAATGAATAATATTCTAATTTTCAACTGTCGATTAATATTCTCGCATTAACGTTATTATGTTGTGGCAACTCGAATATCGATCGAGCCGCTTCGCACGCCAGGTATCGCCAGGCCGCAATCACAGCACCTACCGATTATCTAATATGCCGCTCTTAACAACGACACAGGTTTGCCAAGTTCACGCTCCCGCATTGACCCCCCTGTCTAGCGGTCATTCGAATCGAGCCATTGTTTGATCCCACTTGAAAAACGCACACCCGCACGCGTGTCCAAGATGCGGTTTGCGCATTTCCTCCTCTTCTTCCAGGTCGCAGCCGGTGCTCGACGACTCGTCCGGGAAGAGCGGCGCCAAGTTTTATCAGTCCTACGACAAGCTATTCATAATTAAAACCCTCACGAGCGAGGAGGTGGAGAGGATGCATTCGTTCCTGAAGCATTATCATCCCGTAAGTACAGAGCGAGTGCCCGAATGAACATTCGAGACTAACCGGAGACCGTTGCAGTACATCGTCGAGCGACACGGAAAGACGCTGCTACCGCAATACCTGGGAATGTACCGGCTGACCGTGGACGGCGTCGAGCACTATGTGGTTGCCATAAGGAACGTGTTCTCGAATCACTTGACGACGCACAAGAAGTTCGACTTGAAAGGCTCGACGGTGGACCGGGAAGCGTCGGACAAGGAGAGGGAGAAGGATCTGCCTACCTATAAGGATAACGATTTCGTTAAGGAGGGCCTCAAGATATACATCGGGGAGGAGGCCAAAGCTAAATTAATAGAAACATTAACCGCCGACGTAGACGTGAGTATTTACGTAGGCGTATCAATTTGGATATTGACGCCGAGGTTTTGCACTTGGACTTACCTTGGAGTTATTTGTCGAGATAAAAGTTGGCTTCGAACTTGTCAAGGACCGTCAGGTACTCGAGATAATCCGTTTGCCTCCGTAGTTCTTGACGAGATTACACCTGATGGATTACTCCTTGCTCCTCGGCTTGCACGATTGCGCGCGCGCCGAGCAGGAGAGCAGAGAGCGCGCGGAGAGGGAGGACGACGAGGACAATCACGACGAGGAGGACGACAGCGAGTCCGGCAGCGGGCTGGAATCCCGGGGTCCAGTGGCAGAGTAAGCGGCGAGGGTTCCTCCCCGTCCTGCTGGAAGACAGAGGCCCGGTTTTCATTAATCGTTAACACGTTTTGCTTGCAGCCGCTTGTGGAATTGGAGCGGCGTTGGCCACGCGGTTACAAACATGGCAACGCCCCCCGAGTCGCCGCATGCCGCGTTAATGCGCGACACCAGTCTACAATACGAAGATGCGATAATACCCGAGCTAGATATCTACGCTATTCCTAGTAAAGAAGGTATTTGCCGCGAATCAGCCGACCGTCGCGCGCCCGTGCGAGGTGCATACGTAAAACCCTCACCACGCTATGTCTTTCTAGGTGCTCCCACGAAGGAGATTTATTTTTTGGCCATAATAGACGTGCTGACGCATTATGGCGTGCGCAAGCAAGCGGCGAAAGCTGCCAAGACCGTCAAATACGGTGCTAACGTCGACGGTATATCCACCTGTGATCCTGAACAATACGGCAAACGATTCATAGAGTTCATGAGCAAAGCCATAGAGTAAAAGAGTATTATTAATCGTTGTGCGTAAAATGATGAATTTACGACGATATTACCGCTTACTGTGTACTGTCGGAGTGAAATCGAATTGATCGCAACCCGCACGAGATGGAGAGAGGGAGGGAGTCCGGGAGATTGAATCGTTGCAGTCTGCACTCGGTTTGCTTTTCGGCACACTGGTTATCTTCTTAATAGCGCCGCTTTCACTCGTGGCACGCACGCGATCTAATAGAAGCGCATAACGGGTCGCTCGAGCCGCGAGCTTTTCAAGCGAACGCGTCGTCCTTCGCCGATATTCCTATGCATCGGGATTGTTTATTGTATTTTACGGCTGGCAACAGACTTTTTATCCTCGATTTACTACTCAGCGTGGTTTACGTTACTTCGTTTTCAGTCAGTCGCGAAGAAGCGTGATCGGTTTCTCGAATCTGTCACTTTAAAAAGTTTCTCTCTCTCCGTGATAGAACGTTCAATCGCACATAGCGTTACACGTACACACTTGCAAGCGAGAATTTTTCATAAATTGGAAAAACGACGCCTCCTCTTTTCTCCGTCGCCCGTTCTTTCTTTCCATTCGCACACGTCTCGAAGCGAAAGCGATAATATCCAACGGTCCTGTATCGTTCGATGAATCACCCGCGGTAGAAAATTAACGGCATTGGAGTGTACACCAATTGGGCAGGCAGGTATTATCTATGGATCGAGATAAAAGGCTCGCGAAGTCGTACAAATTCTTATCCACTGATATCGGTAGCTCTAATATCTGAACGTTATAGATTTTTTTTTAAATAGCAGACTGATTAACGGGCGTGAGTCACATGCTGTAGAACGATATCTAACTTGATGTGTTACCGTCGCAGTAAATCTCAATCAAGCATCGGCGGCGCTTGCCAAGAGAACTGTCTGGGTACGCGCCTATTCGTTTTATCATCTAGGATGTAATTTTAGTAGCTCGATGAAACTACGAATGCCCGTTGTTTCACTCAAGTTGTCAATAGTGGTGTATACTTCGCAGTGTCGAGGGCAACGTACACGCGCGCGCACACATACATGTATATACGCATATACAAATCAGTACGAAATAAAGTACACTTTGTAAATGTTGTGCTTCATTCGATTCGATTTTATCGTTGATCAAGCAGCTCGGTTGCTTCGCAGAGCGCATTCGTGGTAAACGATTCGTATCCGGTAATGATATCCACACGATACATATCTCCTCCCTTCGATACTCGTCACGACACCCGAGTCGGCAACCTGCTATCACACGGTTTTCATTTCGCAAGAGAATACTCAGAAGAACGACGCGCCGTTCTTTCGGAGACAGGCACCCGCAGACCTATGCACAATAATATCGTTAGTCGGGAATTTCGACACGTGGATCGTGAGTCTCCGGTATTTATTTCGTACCGTTTGTAAACTTGTTTATTTAGCGAGGAAACACTCGAACGAGAGCCGAACGTAATTGTTGAGCAACTTGTATTACGAGAAAGAAGAATGTGCACCGCGTTGCGTAAGACAATATCTTTAAATATCTAATACACTTTTATATAATATATATATATATATTATATATATGTATAATTTGTTAGAGAGCCGATCATAATATAATGACTAATTACTCTAATGATTAATATATTCATCTAGTCTCGATACTTCTTAATTTTATATGTTTTACCGGTTAATCGCGCGCGCGCGCGCGCGCCAGGATTAACGGGCGCGATAGACGAGAGGAGGAGGGGGTGTCCGTTGCTGCATATTTGTTGCAGGACATGTTTAGGTTTCGAAAGTACGATATACCGGTTTCCGCGCGATTGTCAATCGTATTAGAATACGGTTAAAAGTCAGCTTCAACCAGCGGAATCTTGCAGACGCGGCGGCGTTCTTTAATAATAAATGAAGAATTACATCCATCCGTTAGCATGCGTCCTCGTGTGTGGCAACGACAAATCTTTGTTCACATTCAAATAAATTGAGATTCATCGATACGTAAAGTCGTTTGTGCAGCTTTATTACATGTGTAAGATAACGTTGCAGTCTTTTTTCTTCTTTCTAGTTCAGCTCATCATCTCGACGTGTACAGAGTCCGTCTTCCAGCTTATACATTACAATGTATGGATACTTTGGAATTTAATGCGTCGAATGTTGCTTCACAATTTGAAGGCAAGGCAAGGATAAGTTGTTATTATTTTCCGACACTTAGCCCTCTACAAAATGTCAATTCCGCGCGAATTTCAAGGTATCCATATGAAAAACAAGAAACTAAAAAAAATGGCACTCTCAAATATATCTGTTATAAATAAATAACAAGAAATAAATAAGAAAAAAAAATAACAAAACTCTGCAACTGTCTCGCAAACTGTTTTCGTCTTAGGACGAAAGACGTCTGGTAATTTACACGAGACCTGTGTATTTGCCGGATTATTTCATCTGCCCGTTACGTTTTTTACAGCGGTTGGAGATACCTGTTTTAAGCATTCTATGTCGTTAAAAACTATCTGCGCCCCACCTCCGCAAGTTGGCAACACCTCGGCCTACAACGTGCAAGTGTACAGTAACAGAAAAAAAAATGCAATTCCCCGAAGTAAACGCCGAAGCGAAGCTTACCTTGTACAGCTTGGTCTCGAGTTCGCCATCCGTGTCCTGTTCCTGCGAGAGAAGGCTGTACCTGGAAGATCTCGCCACAAAATGCTTCGGGTTCGTTAACTTCCGGATGGTTCGCTTGTGAGGCTGCGTTCGCGGTTGTAAAATCGTACCGGTCGGAACTATCCCGAAAGGACGGTGATCTATCCATCTATCTACATTTTGCGCTCGCTGGTACCTGGGATTTACCACTGGAATCTAAATTAACACACGCGTGAAGATCAGCTTGCGTATATGCGCGTTGATCGAAGAGCAAATTGATCTATTAATTTATGCCACTCTCCTCTCGTTACCTTCGTATTAAATTTGGTTTTGGCAACAAATGTATCGGCCGACGCGGTCATAGATGATGGAGAATCAACGAGCGCTATCGGTTTCGATTCCTCCGCCTCGGTTTTCGAGTCCGACGGTACGGAAGACTCCGCCATCAGGATTGGTTCCTTCGCGGCTTTTCTCAGGACATTGTCAGAATTGGTTTTCGCGCGAGAGGACGTCTGGCAGGTTTGGCCACGAGGGCCGGAAGTCGGAGAATCAATTAACACCGTGGAAAGTTTCTCTCTGGCTAATGACGAGTTTCGTGTCTCTGCGATTTCTTCGTAGGTGTTATTGGAAACGGTTGTTGCGTGACAAGGCAAAGCTTGGCGAATTTGCCCACGAGGCCATCTGGAAGCTTCAAGATTGATGGACGTCTCCACGGAGGGTTCCTCCTTTAACATCGTCAAGTTGGTTTTTTCCGCGGTCTCTATTCTCGAACTTGAGGCTATCGGCGACGACAGGGCGACATTATCGGACGTATCTTCACGTGCCGTCAATATTTGCTTCACCAATCTCATTTTGTTCTCTTTCCTTTTGATGTAGCTCTGAAAGTGCGATTCAGATTTCAGTGTGCGAGTCAACGAGGATCACTTCAAGAGAGATAATTCTAAGATGTACTAAGATTGACGCTGATTTGTAATCGTAAGCTTTAAAGTATACCGTCAACTGCTCACGTTGTTCCTGCAATTTCGTCTGCATCTCCCGAGTGATTCTGTCGGTCTCCGTTTGTATTTTAACGTTATATCTTTGCACTAGTTTTCGCTTCTCCAACCTGTATTGCTCGAGTTGCCTGTCCTTGTCCCTCAACTACACAGAAATTGTATTGACACACAAGGGTAAAATAACACAAGACATCACCGGGGAAAAATATTCTTACCTCTTGCTGTAGATTTCTCATGACGTCGCTGGCATCGTTCAATTTGTACAGCAAGCCATCGATATTATTCTGTAACTTGCAGACACGACCCTCCAACATCGAGATCTGAAAGATTTTCCACCCACGGTATTAACGGAGAGACATCAAGAATCTCAGAAAAACATGCACATTAGGAAGCGTAACTGTATCCGTTATTGTACACGAAATCTTACTAGTTTGTTCTGCTCGACGTTGTCGTATCTTAAGAATGCGTTTTCACGTTCCATTTCCACTAATACGTTTCTGAAATGGTCCTCTGAAAAGATAACGTTAACATTGTGCAATTACACGGCAGTGATACAACTACGGTTAGAGCGCTAAAAGATATAATTGTAGTTAAAACACCGCGACTCGTTCGTACGTTTCTCGCGCAGGTCCTCCTCCAGTAGACCCCTCCTTGGAATACGCGTCTCCAGGAGTCGTATCAACCTTGGGATCGCCTGCTCGTTCTGCGGGCCCGCCATGCTCGTCTCGGAAACGGAATCGCTCGGACTGCAAAAGAGAAAACCGCAATATGGGTGAATCACGGCTGGGGGTCAATTCTGTGTCTCGCAATAATGTAAGAATGCTGAAAGTGGGCGGTTTGGTCTCTTTCCAAGGGGACGGTTAGAAAGGGATGAAGCCACTTACTTTTAGCATTTGTGCTGCAGCGCAAGATACAGAATTGACCCCCGCGTCACGTAAATGTGAAAATGAAGCCGATATCCGTTCCCGAGTCAACTTACGTAGACATCTTATTCCGTGAAAGACGCGAAAGTCGAAAACCGAGGTCGATCCTCCTCAACAATCGTGACAACTGTGCGGCTCGTCAGTTCGCAAAGCTTCTTCCTTAATTTTCGCTCCTGACTGCTCCTGACCCCGTTCGAAGGGCGATTCAGCTACAAACTTGTGCGCGAGGTCGGTGTCAGTAGCTGTCGACGACTTTCGTCTAAGCACCTCGCAAAAAACTAATACGCCGATCCGTTCCAAACAAAGAAGGCAGAAAAGCACGTGACGCATCACATTACAAGTGTCGGGCACTTGTAACCCTCGTAACGCGACGGAAACATTTAAAATTGAGCGCACGTCGCGCCAATCAGGCACGACGGACACCGCGCGCATCCTTCGTTACCGACTGCCGGCAACATTACCGGCGGTCGATAAAACGCGCCGCTACGTTATCGATCGAGTTGTCTCGCTTCGCTCGAATTCCAAGATGGCGGCACGTGTCGTGTTCGCGCGAGTTTGTCGGACGAGATGTTTGAACAGCCATCATTTTGCCTTAGGCGTAGATTTAAAAAAAAATCGTAAGAATTGTGAGGAATTCCATCGTTTTATGTAATCTCGCGCACGATATATCTAGTTTGCGTCTAGTTTAAACACGTTACCTGAACTGACTCAGGGTTATTTATTAATGAACTCCGATGATCGAATCGAGTCATCCGGTGCGATCCGGTAAGCATACCGTGCGGCCATCACGCTCAGCGGTTCTTTCCCTCTCCGTATCGGCTTGCATAATCCCGTAATAATCGTCTTCCGCCATCGCGTCATAAAACATTGTTTGATATTCACCGGCATCTGCGCGCCGGCATCTGTTATCTTATTGATATTGCATCGCTATTTTACGTAATCCTCTTTATTCCGTACAATGTCGTTTATGACGGGAGCCAGTTTCGCCTTTTCTCGCAACAGACTCGGCTCGTTGTCAATATACGTGCGCCAAATACAGAGAGCGAGGAAAATATCACGACAAACATTGCGTCAAGACCACCTCGAGCCGCTTAGAACGCATTCCATCTTCAGAACGTCGCTTTTGTAATTTTTCACGCCGCGTACTTGAAGAGGGAGATGTACGTGCCTAACAAACGGAGCATATAACGGAGAATATTACATAACTTAAAGATATCGCGTAACATAAAGAATGTTATGCCATTGTACTGAGTTGGCGTAATCTTCCGCAGTATCTTCTCGCGTTCTTCCCTTTGCACGGCATAAAGTCGTAAATGGAATTCTGACGCAGCCTGCAAATCGTTGGAAGCTCCAGACCCAGCGAGAAATGACTCGTCGAATCGACATCGATCGACGAATTGGGGATGATCTATGAATCCACGAATCGTCAGATTTTAGGACAAAACTCCATTTGCCCCGATGTATCGGTGCGCATGAGTCACAAAAGTCGAAAACATACGCATAGACATCTGTTATTGCGACAAATATTATCATATGTCTCGGTGGTCGAATTGGTTGAGACGCCCGCCTAGAGTGAAGGGAGGTCCAGGTTCAAACCCTGGCTGAGGTGATATTCTTCGCAATAAATTTTCTGTGTTAAAAACACATCGCCAGTCGTGGTGGATCAGTTTAGTCGACCTTAACTGGCACTTGCTTAATAAATTAAAAATTAAAAATATAATGCGCTCAAAATTCCCCATTGCACTCACTCTGCAGTAGTGAGAGCCGTGTCGACTCGGACAACGAGTCAGATTCACCTGCCAATGTTAAGACATCAAAATAATTCAGCTTCAGTGAGCACGACCTATGGGCCTGACTGCTCATTGGGCTCTTTGTCGACTCTAACAACGAGTTAGATTCACCTGACAATATTAAGACATCAAAATAATCCAATAGTGAGCACGACCTATGGACCTGATTGCCTAAACTCTAAAGGGTCCATTTTAATTAGGCCAATTAATGGCCCATTAAATATGGCCCTTTAGGCAGTCAGATTCATAGGTCATGCTCACTATCGGATTCTTTTGATGTCTTAATATCGGCAGGTTGTCGGAGTCGACACGGCTCTCACTACTGCAGAGTGAGCGCAATGAGAAATTTGGAGCGCGTTAGATTTTTAATTTTTAATTTATTAAATAAGTACCAGTTAAGGTCGACCAAGCTGATCCATTGTTATTTTTTACTGGCAACCTAAAGAGATTATCACGTTGAAATTATACGTTTTTCCGACGGCATAAAATAATAGAAATAGAATTCCATTCGGCGGGGCATCAATTTTACAATCGAAAAATAATTTCAAGCGTCGCGTATCAACGCTCGGCGGCGCGCTCAATCGTTCCCGTTGTCGCCCCGAGCAATTACGATAATAGTTTAATCTCACGTTCGTTATTTTCGCAGGTGGACTATCGTAGATTCCGATTCGGCCTGGCGCGCGAATTCCCCGGCAATGAATCATTATCATCTGCGTGGAGGCGAAATCGCAAAATATTTTACAGCGGGCAGTCTCCTCTTCTCGTTTCGATCGAGGGGGGAACGCGTTCTGAAACCTGCGCTTCTGAGATACCCTAAGATACCGGCATGCCCGTCGCCGTTCACTTAATAGCTCCCAGTTGCGCTGTCATTATCTCACGACAATCGCTCTGAATTTTCATGACATAAAACTTACGTCAGCTTTTCCGCCTGCACGCGCTTCGCCGAAGCGCGTTTATACATCTTCGAAGTCGGCATTTATCTGCGAGCCCCGTTCGCGAGTGATCGATCAAACTGATAACGCTTGGTTCTTACAGAGCGGACCTACGTTTCGTCACTGTCCTCCTGACACGTGTCGCGAGACGTTGAACGAGGAGGACAAAGACGGCATGCGGATCTCAGAGAGGTAACGAGCCGACGCGAGTTTCGAGCGGCAGGCGCATTATCGCGGGAATTAAATGGGACGAAAGGTATGCGAGAGGGGAAGCTCGAAGAGCGGAACGGAAGGACGAAACGCGAAGACGACCCTAGCGGAAAAAATTCTACAAATAACTACAAAAAATTGACTTGAAATAGAAATTTGTAGAAATTTTTATATCTTCGTTGAAACATTAATGTTCGGGGTGACGCGTTAATGCATATGCGCGCTAGAATGCGATTATTAATATTAAGTTCATTTCGGATTCTTTTCTGGATTTTGCTGATATGGGCTTCGCGTAATGGTCCAGAACACTCTTGAGGACGGGTGAGTGTTTGTATCGACAACCAACTCACCGTGGCCCTACACAAAGCCCATGTCAGCAAAATATAATTCTTTGTTATCCTGTAGATTCGTGATCCGTCGTTCCTTCCGCCGATCTCCAATGAGCCACGCGAACGCGCGCTCCGCGCATGTCTAATGCGCGAGGTGTCTTCCCGGGCCCTGTGACTATTCACGCCAAGAGCCCGAGGGTCACCTCAAAATGTTCGAAGTGGCGATAAATCATTGGTGATCGTCGGAGGAACAAAGGATCCTGCTTCATCATAAAAGCAGCAACCAACGGAATCGCAACGCCTTTTCTCCTCTGTTTCTCGTTTGCGATACCACGTCTTTTTCTCGTGCGAATTGCGAGCCGATTTCTCGTTCTCGGTGATTCAAAGGCAACAGTCTCGCGCAAATTTCATCTGGAATTTATTGTAGTTAGTTTTGTGAAGTAGTGCTAAATATACATGTTAAAACAAGCTCGTGGATCTCATCCTTAAAGTACTTCACGTCCAGCGAACATCCTTGACGCTTCCCGAATTAATTTTTTTGTAAAAGTGTCTACGAAATAGTACCAGAAATTACAATGTGCTCAAATCAAGAAATTATTGCAAGTAGTATTTCATGAAAATGTACAATTTTGTAAAAATTAGTACAAAACTTTACTAGTCTTAAAAATTTGAGGAACAACAAAATCTTAAAGAATTAAAACATCTGCTTACTTGTAGAATATTACAAAAATTAACAAAAGTGTTTCAATTCTAGCACTTTCATGTTGATTTTTATAACGCTTTTTAAATTTACGTAGAATTTCTTAGATTCTGGCAGTATATTTTATTTATTTTGTAGAATTTTGTAGAATTATTTCCGGCAGGGGAGGAGAAGAATAATGAAAGCGACACGACAATTTCTTCGTAAAGTTTCCTCGCGATATGCCGGGAGCAGTTGACGTTCGAGTTGACGTTAATTTTCCTCGCAACTGATTATTGACTGCGATAATTCTTGGAATGATGAATAATGTGCGCGGGTAATAATAGCGCGTCAGTCGATTCTTAATTGACTTTTAATTGGAGGCACTAATAGCGCCTCCAACCGGGACGACATTCTCATAAATCACTCGACGGATAGACAAGAGTTTTCGCCAGCTTCGTATTTTTCGCTACAGCAAAGAGAAGGAAAACTACGGCGGTGGGTTATTGCAATGATTGTTTCAGGCATCGTACGTGGTCTCGAGCGGCGTGACAAATCGTGCCTTCGTCATAGACGAGCCAGTAAATCTGAATGGCATCGACGTTAATGGGCCCACTCGTGGAACTAGCGCGGTAATTATCCTTCCTGCGAAAAAACAACGAATCTGCGACTCCACTAATTGTAAGAAGCAGGCGAGGAAAAGCTTAACTCAGATCATTTCGGACAATGCGGGAGAAACGCTTCCGGTCCTTCGTTTTCGATGAGCGATATACATGACGGTTCGGTAAAGAGGATTTGCACAGCCCATCTGCCTTGGGATAATTTTGCGGGAAGAGAAAGAATACTCCTGCCTCGGGGCACAACCCAGCGAGAGCTGACTCGTCAATCGATGTCGAAACGATGCTGAATCGTAACATCGTTTCGACGAAACATTTCTCACTGGGAACTGTTTTTACCTGCGCGGTACCGAACGAAGCGCACGGATTCTCTTTAAGATTGTCCCCGATTGAGCACTCGGCTGTGCAAAGATTTTTTTCCCTTCTGCTACTCGCTGCGTCTCTTTCTCGCGTAGCGGAAGCCGGAGCGCCAGAAATGGGGGAACGACAGGGAATTCCTGCTATCCTGCATCGCCATGTCGGTCGGCCTTGGCAATATATGGCGATTCCCGTTCACGGCGTACGAGAACGGCGGCGGCGCCTTCCTGATACCGTACATCATCATCCTGATCGTCGTGGGGAAGCCGTTTTACCTGCTGGAGATGATCCTAGGACAGTTCTCCAGCCGGTCGGCCGTGAAGATCTGGGACCTCGCGCCGGCATTCAGAGGTGCGCGTGCACCCCGGCGCGTGTCCACCTTAGCTTGCAACTTTGATAACTGATTTTACTACGTTAATCGCGAGGCATAGCTAAAATGTTAAGACGTAACATTACAGCGCGAGAATAAAATTTAACTTGTAGGCGTTGGCGCCGCACAATTTATAACACTGCTGGCACTGGCGTCCTATTACTGCCCGCTGATGGCGTTGACCCTGTTCTACCTCGTCGCCAGCTTCCAGCCGGAATTACCATGGGGAAGATGCTGGGAGGAATGGGGCGAGTTCTGCGTAGACTCTTTAACCAGCAACCACAGTGTTAGAGCCGGGAACATCAGCTACGCCAGCTCTGCTGAGCTGTATTTCTAGTAAATTACTCGGAAACAATAGCCAAATTAGCTGTTTCCAGTTACATAAGATATCCCGAAACTAATCAACTACTTATACTTTAAGTTTGAAGGTAGTTTACTTGAAATTAAAAATCGGAATTTAATCATAAAAATACGAGATGTAAGAGATTAATTTTTTTATTAAAGACCACGTCCAGCGGTTTCGGGATATCCCAAATATATTTGCTTGATAGGAAACGAAGTCAGTAACGAGATAACGAAGCGATTGCATTCGTTCAGCAAAGAAGTGCTACGGGAGAAGGACAACATCGACGACGGCATCGGTACACCAGACTGGCGTCTGTCGATCGCGCTATTCGTTAGCTGGCTGACGGTCTTCCTCGTGGTGATACGCGGTGTACGGAGTTCCGGCAAGGCGGCGTACTTCCTGGCGATATTTCCCTACGTGGTCCTCATCGTGCTGCTCGTAAGGGCGGTCACGTTGGAGGGATCGACCACTGGTATCTTGTACTTCATCACGCCGACGTGGGAGAAGCTGCTGACGCCGATGATCTGGTACCACGCTGTCGCCCAATGCTTCTTCTCCTTGACCGTTTGCTTCGGGGCCGTCGTCATGTTCGCCTCGCACAACAAGTTCCACCATGACCTGTATCGGTTAGTTAAAAATATAACGCGCTGCCCTGCTTAAAAATTAGACGGAATATAATCAGATTACATTAGGTTGCGTGCAATTTCAATGTAGATAAATGGGAGTCTTGTAAATTCACATTGGAATTGCATGTAATCTAATGTAATCTGACCATTTTCTATTTATTATCTTAAACAGGATATTTACCATAAATGTTTGTCGGCTTCGAAAAATTTGTAAACTCTTTTATCTTCCTCGATTGAAATTTTGAATCATTTGCCTCCATTTTACTATTATTCTATTTCTGAACATCGATGTTCAGAAATAGGTGTTTGCTCATCCACTCTTACTTGGAATTGAAAAGATTTCTCTATTATCTATCGTCAGGTTTTTTTACTGCTGATGTAAAAAGATATGTCTGGGTAAATATTTATAAGGTATGTTAATTAAGCACGAAGCGCATGTGTTTGACAGCTTTTAAATGAGTTGCACGTTAATCAGGGACGCGATGATCGTGACGACTCTGGACACCTTCACCAGTCTGCTGGCCGGTTGCACGATCTTCGGCATTCTGGGCAACCTCAGCCGCGAGCTGGGGATCGAGGATGTCGGCGCAGTGGTCCGAGGTGGCACCGGATTGGCGTTCATTTCCTATCCGGAAACGATCGCCAAGTTCACGATCGCACCGCAGTTCTTCGGCGTCGTGTTCTTCGCGATGCTATTCGTCCTGGGTATCGGCAGCGAGGCCGGTCTCGCCTCCGCCATAATTTCCATCGTGCACGATCAGTTCCCGAAGGTGAAACACTGGCACGTCGCGGTAGGCACTTGCCTCTGCGAGTTCTTGATCGGTCTCATATACGTCACGCCGGTATGCTAATCAGATGCGATTTACGGTCCTTTTCGCAAACCGGCGCCGTTATCCCTAATTGTACGGGTGTTTGCAGGGCGGTCAGTTCATGGTAACCTTCGTCGATTATTACGTGACCTCATTTATCGCTTTTCTACCGGCTGCTTTCGAAATGATTGCCGTCGCTTGGGCGTACGGTACGTTTTTCCTCCATCCGCATTGCCCTCGCCTGAAAATTTACGCCGCCAATTATCCAGATCGTACTAGACGTGATTGAAACGAGCAATTTTAGGACTGTCTAACTTGCTGAACGACGTCGAATTTATGCTGAAGAGACGTCTGTCGATGTTCTGGCGAGTCTGCTGGAGCGTCCTCACTCCTGGAATTATTCTCGTAATCTTCATTTATGCATTCGCCAATCTCGAAATGCTAAAATACAACAAGAACTTTTATCCTTCCTTGGTTTACGGTGAGTTATTAAAACTGGATAAAGTCCCGATGTTCAGAAAATTTTTCCATCTTTCCTTTTTACAAAAACTTTATCAATTATTACTTTGTAAATCTCATACTTTATCATAATAACATGATACCGTCTGTATATTAGGTACATCTCTCCCTTTAACGATGTTGAATCGACGTCAACTTGACGATGTCATTTCTCGGGACACACCGTCATAATAATGATAATATTTGTACGACTAATACTCGTATCTTTTTCACCAACAGTCGTAGGTTGGATCCTCTTCTCTATCGCTGTTCTCCAAATTCCTTTGTGGATTATCATTGCGATAGTCAGAAAGAGACATCTTCCTTTCCAAAAAGTAAGCGGGAGTCAGCACTTTCGTGATGTATATGTTCACTTCACTGTAATGCTATCTTATCTGTTACAATACCGTTTATCTCTCTTAGATGATCAAGCAAGCTTTCCGGCCGGCGAAATCATGGGGTCCGAGCAACGCGGAAGATCGTAGAAGATGGCTGGCCTTCAGAGATCAGTGCGACGCGGAAGAGAAATAGTATCGGGAATGCAAATCGTCGCTTCCGTATAATTTTCGAGAGGCGACACTTCTATGTCTCAACTATGTCTCAACTTCGATGGAGTAGACCTCGTACAACTGCTCGCGTCACACTCGCTGTTTTTGCAATCGACAAAACTTAGCGTTACAATTACCGGCATATATATCATTACTATGTCATTGCTATCACGGCACTATGCGTAATGATGATAATAAGTGTTTTCGTCCCCGATGTTCCGTGCAAATCGCGACTCACTCGTCCTTGCTACATAACTGTCATAAGCCTCGTGGAAAATGGAGTCGTGTGAATTTGACGATGTCGCCATGACCTGGCGAGCATAGCGTACCTGCAACATTAAAGCACTGAGCAACATTGTTCCTTTAAAACCAAATTTTTAGAAAAAGAACATGAAATATATTTTACAAGCTTGATCTTCCGCGAAAGGAATGCGAAGCAATCGCGATAGCATTGCTACTTAATACGCATAATTATCAATTGACAAATTATATAAGATTTACATCGCGATTTAGACTGATAAGAAAAGGAGGAAAGTGCCTTTAAATTTGCATGTTAACTTTGCGCGGACGATTTGTACGGACGATTTCACGTTTTATTATGCAAGAGCACGAGCGAGATAAGTGCTGCGTCTATCTTTGTCTCTCTTCACTTGACGCCGGGAGAACCTACCGGTTCTCCTTTCGCTTGGAAAGGTCCTGCGTCATTGCGCACTAAGCGTGACGTATGGTGACATCACGCAACTGTGACGTACGGGATTATTGCGAATATAGAAAATACAAAGGAAAAAAAGCCTTTTTTCGCCGTAGCGCAATCTTCCGTCCCTTCCTAAATTGTTTCGCGTGCAGCTTCTCTCGCGTCGATCGTATCAACTGGGAATTTCCAAGTCCCCTACCCTTCCGTCGCTTCATTTTTCTTTCACAAGCTTTATCCCTTCCTGCGGAAATGTACCGGCCTCGTTTTCATTTCGTAGGGAGGAAATTTCCGTCTCCCTTCCTTCCACCACTTTCTCTTCCATACCGGGCAATGTTTCTTTTTTCGCGGAGGGAATTTTCTCGCCTTCCCGATCTCCCGTTTCGTCTTCTTACTGGAACACAAGTCCACTTATCTTACTTGTAGTTCCTCCAAGCACCGTACGGTCCAGAGTTCGCGTAATTATCCCTTTGCGTGAAGACACATGATTCACTGTCGCTCCTACCTAGCTACCACCTGACCGTCCACCTAGACGATCGGCTCGTCGTGTTTCGCTCGCGAGGCGCAGTGTTCTGTCACCTACCGCCGCGGGGATATATAGTAATGGTTATCGTTTTATCAAATGACTTTCCGAGACAGTCGTGCGGGAGAAAGAGCACACCTCAACGCCCGATCCGACGACCAGTTTACATCGGTAACGTCTACGTTCGAGGTATCCCTTCGGAACCCGGTGGCAATCGCGTCCCAGTTTCCTGCCTTGAGCGGAGGCCGTTCCCAATTCTCATTCGCGTCTCTCAACGTGGCCATCGTCCGCTATGTATGAGACAGTAAGTGAACGATTTGCTCGAGAGACGCCAAATGGTAACTTGGGCGTCGCGAGGGGTCGACTGAAAACCAGGGAAGTGTCGGGTAGCAAAGTAAAGTGTGTGGCATTAAACGTTAACATGGTAGCGGTATAACTGACAATTATAATGACCAGCGTGAGAAGCGTGAGAATAATGGTTATTCGCGCGAGGTGAATGTAAGAGCGCGCGCGGAATCGGTGCCTCTAACGTCTTTCATCCTGAATCTGCTCGGCCGCGTCGCGGCACCTTTCGTTTCTTTTCTATCGTCATGTATCTCACGGCTCGCGAACGATAAGTGAAAGTTACCCTAAATGTAGTCTCGCAACATCGGGCTGCAATTGGAATAAAAAAGAAATGTGCGATAACACCTGTGTAATTGAGTAACAATCTTGGGGCGAGATAAAATAATCGCTTCGTTAACAACGAGCGCAATGACATGTAATTTCGCAATTAACATTTATGTTTACCGAGTATTCGTCGGAGGATTTGCGAGCGTATTTGCAGTGACAAAGCCATCGTTCGATATCTTTATTATCCTGGCCTCTTTGAGATCCTTCTGCCGAACGTCATATCTCGTCAGAATGCTATTATTGTCGCGTACAGATACTTTAATCCGATACCCGCGGCGGCTTGATATCAGCCGGGAAAAACACGTTTCGCGAATAGACGTTTCCTTTCAAACTCGTACTCACACTCGTTGGCACTGACCTATATTTTTATTGCGTGTGTTGAAACTAGACATGGAACTCTCATTTTCGTTATGCGCCCGCGTCGAATCGCATTCGTACGAAATGAGGGAAACGAACTAAATTGACTTGCCGAAATCAAACAGGCGTTCGCGCTTAATTGCAGAGGGACGAGAAAGAACTGGGTATCGATAACGTCGTCTTTCAAATAGACGAGCCCCATATCGGGAATGGCGGGACGAGGTATTACCCTGGGAACTCGACGAGCGCCTCGGACGAGCAGGTCGTCGAACCGGGAAAAGAACGCGCGACATGGAACAACAGCGTGGAATTCCTCATGTCGTGTATCGCCGTGTCGGTCGGTTTTGGCAATATCTGGCGCTTCCCGTTCACGGCTTACGAGAACGGCGGCGGCGCCTTTCTCATCCCGTACGTGATCCTGCTCTTCCTGGTGGGAAAGCCGTTCTACTTCTTGGAGATGATCATCGGACAGTTCTCCGGCAACTCATCCGTCAAAGTCTGGAGCATGTCGCCGGGCTTCGTTGGTAATTTCTCAGTCCGATAACTCTCGCGAGAGAGAGAGAGACAGGCGAACTACAGGCGGTAAACACATGGGTGATCATTTTGTTGCCAGAAAAAAAAAACGTTTGGTATTTCAATTAAGAGCTATACATTATGCATGTTCATATATACCTGCATGAATAAACCGGACGATTACCATTTCATACAAATGAAGCTCTGGATCTTTGAATTTTATGTAGAATTCTCGTGAGACGAAGGTGAACTACAGGCAGATAACACACGGGCGATCATTTTATCGTCAAAAGGAACGTTTCAATTAACAAGGATTATATGTATACATATATGTATGAATCAGATGATTACCTTTCATGCAAATTAAATTTCGGATCTTTAAGTTTTACGTAGAATTTAGTCGTACATTATTTGCTAAATTACGTGAAGATGTAATTTCGATAAATTCCTATAAATATTGATTAACTTATCCGGTTTTCTCAATTCAGTAACTTCGTACACTCGTACACGTGTGCGCGCGCGCGTGTGTGTGTGTGCGTGTGTCGAGTCGTGTTGTATCCAAGGTCGACGATGGCGAATTAAAAAATATCTTTGATTTAAAGAATGCTCTTTCCATTGACAGGAGTCGGATGGGCGCAATTCTGCTCAACCATCGCTCTGGCGACCTACTACAGCTCCCTGATGGCATTGACACTTTATTATCTGATCGCATCCTTCTCCGCCGAATTGCCTTGGGCTACTTGTCTGAAGGAATGGGGTGACACGTGTGTCGATTCGAGTACCAAAAGGAATCACAGTGCAGATGGCACGGCGGAAGAAAACATTCATTTTCTCGAGCATTTCCTGAACGGCAGCAGTAAGCTTCAAAGCTCGGCTGAATTATACTTTTCGTAAGTATTATCTTACCGTGTTCCTCCAAGAAAATGACGAGCTCAGAATGCGCTCTGCAGCTCGCGTTCTTAATTTTCATGACAGGGGAATATTTCTCAAATAAACGAGTCTCATGTCGGAAATGACCTCAATCGGGCCTGGTATTAGAAATTCGCAATAAACGACGATCCCGTTTGATATCTTGGCTGAGGAGGAGTAAATTGATTGGCAAATCTCTCGTTAAAATTAGGATCGCGAGACGTTTGCATACATTGGAATAAAGGTAGAAAAGAAAACACTTATCCATAAAAACCAAACGATTCGCAGCCGAGTGGTGTTGCACGAGAAGGAGAACATCGACGACGGGATCGGATTGCCGGACTGGAAGCTAACGCTGTGCCTCCTTGGCAGTTGGGCGGCGGTCTGCATGGTACTCTTCCAAGGTGTAAAGAGCTCGGGAAGATTCTCTTATTTCCTGGCAATTTTTCCATACATCGTACTGTTCTCGCTACTGATTCGCGCGGTTACTCTGGACGGCTCATTAAACGGGATCTTGTACTTTATCACGCCGAAATGGTCGAAACTCCTGGAGCCGACCGTCTGGTACGCCGCCGTCACCCAGTGCTTCTTCTCACTTTCAGTCTGCTTCGGCAGCATTATCACGTACTCCTCGCATAACGGCTTCAAGCACAACATCTACAGGTAAGAAGAAATGTATGTTACTCATGAAATTGTACATGTATATTTATTGCGATTAAATATTTTAAAAGGTCCACAAAACTGTTTAATATGATAAAGAAATAAAAAGGGCGGGAGAAGGTATATAAAAGCAAGTTTTCACAACTTTTATATATAAATTAATATAAATATTAACGCTTCGCGCGCGCTATTTGGCTTAAATTTACGATTTTCTTCATACAAATGCAAAGAAGACGTGACGTTGACAAACCGTCAAAATATTCATGATCTCCACGCTGACGGCTATTCTCGCAGCATGAAATGAGGCGAGCGAGACAACTAGCTAATTAGCATCGCGGAAAAGCGTGAACAGTCTCTTATACATGCCTCTGTTAAAAGGAGCTAATACTTGTGCAAAGTAATGATTTTAGTTTAAAAAACGTTTTAAATATTCAATCGCAATATATATTTTGTAAGTTATGACTTTCCGTTCCGTTCATGGCATTCGTGACTTATAGTAATCGTATACGAACTTAGAGACGTCATAATAATTACTTCGTTGGACACGATTACGAGTTTGTTGGCCGGCTGCACGATATTTGGGATCCTCGGCAATTTGGCATACGAATTAGGTGTGGAAGATATATCCAAAGTGGTCAGAGGCGGAGCTGGTCTGGCATTCGTATCTTATCCCGACGCGATAGCGAAGTTTAACTTTCTACCACAGGTATTGCCATTTGTTTCGTCACATATGAATTAGTGGAAACGCTATACGCGTCTTCTGAAAAGGGAATTCTTACTGTACACCTATCATTAAAATATTAATATCCAGTGTTTCTTCGCAGTTATTTGCCGTGCTCTTTTTCTTCATGATGTTCGTCCTTGGTGTTGGTAGCGCCGTGGGAATGACGACGGGCATCATCACGGTAGTAAACGAGCAGTTTCCACGGCTCAAAACTTGGCAGATCGTAGTTCCGACTTGTTTGCTTGGTTTCTTAATCGGCACAGTCTACGTAACACCGGTTAGCATTTAATTAATTATGCTGTAAATAGCATACTTTTAAATTGCAAATGTTTAATCGCAAAAGAAATTGTGATCTTAGTACCATACAGTTATAGCAATAAGAGAATTTTACAGGGTGGGCAGTTTATTTTAACTCTGGTGGACTATTACGGCACGTCATTCGTCGTTTTCATCTTGGCGTCGTTCGAAATGACTGGAGTGATTTGGTTTTACGGTAAGAATTAATTTTCATTGTATCAAGTTTCTTAGTTCTCTTCGTCTTTCTAATTATCGTTCAATTCTAATGACCATTGACTGCGCATGCAAATACGAGAGTGCCGCAAGTTGTTGAAAAAGGTTTACATCTTCCGGCAGGTTTCGAGAACTTTCTGGAGGACGTGGAATTTATGCTGGACCGACAGCCGAGCGTTTACTGGAGAATATGTTGGTTTATAGTGACGCCGTTGATACTAATAACAATCTTCATTTACACCATAGCCACCTTGTCGCCTTTGACCTACGGTGGAACACCACTGCCGGGATACGCGCACGCTGTCGGATGGACGATACTCTGCATCGGTGTTCTTCAAATACCGCTGTGGATGCTGATCGGAATGTTGAAGAATCGGGAACTGCCGTTCGCACAGGTATTGACGTGAAAAGAAAGTTACATTACAAGTCGAGCTGGTTTCATAAAATATTTTATGGGAGCTTAAAGATTAAATGATTAAATCCACCATTTCTTGCTCTATTTAAGATGGTAAGAAAAGCTTTCGCACCTGCGAGAGGATGGGGTCCACGAGAGGTGCAGCAACGCAAAGATTGGAGGATTTTCAAGGAGGAGAGAGCGAGAAATCGGGAGAAGAGGATCCAACCAGTCTGGAAGCAAATACTCTACATTCTTTTGAACATGGAACCAATATAGAGCGTACAACTTCGTACCGGCTCGAGATGCTTTAAAGTTGTTCGAATTTTCAAGTCATTTCTGCCGCGGCGGGATCCGTGGCAAAAACCACGAGATACGTAATATAAAAAAAAATATCTGTTCTCTAAACTTAACTACATGCGGATTTTCAGGAAATAATTTAATTTTTTTTATTATTTGACGTAACCAAATAATGTGTAACTTGAAAAAATAGCCAGATATAACCCCATAATTATATATTTTTTAAATTAAATTAATAATACAAAGAAATTATCAATCCGCATGAAGTTGTATATTTATATTTAAAAAATTTATAGTAGTATGCTTAAAACTTAGCTCTCGCTTAGTTCCCGTAATTCTTATGTGTAATGTTGCACTGTGTGCAACACGATACGTGACAAAGAGCTGCCAATGTTATTAAGAATCCTTTCACTCGATCGCTATGCGATTATCTTCACACGAACAATCCGAATAATGAACAAATATATTAATTGATTCTCATACTATTTAAATGATTGTCATTGTCAATCTTTGCCAAACAGCGCTGCTATAATTTTCGATTTCTTCGCGCACGCACGCGATATCCTTTTTGAATGCTTAAAATCCCTCCATTCATTGTATTTCTTTAGGTCTTTCGGACCCCAATCGGCGCTCGGCTCGAACATCTAAAAATAAAAAGCAATAGGTCATAATTTTAGACGACGCATAGATTTGTATGCTACAACTATATTTAAATAAAGCGCAAGTTTATATTACACTCGAGCACGGCTTGTCTCTATTCCGAAATCCAACAATGATTATGCCCAAGGGAAACGGAAGGATTCCTAAAGCCAAAAGCGTCCAACCCGCAACTATAAAATTGAAAAGGTATCTCGTGATATTATTCGGTAATTTTACCAATTATCTCTTGATTTTAATGAAAATTTCAATTTTTACACTGGCTCCAATAATTAATATTTTACACAATTCATGTTTTAATTTATCTTTATCTCTAATTAACAAAAAATCTAATTCGTATATTACAAACGAAAGAAAAAGAAGTCACTTATAGTCGCCAGTGATGATTACAAATTAAAACAGCTTATTGTCAACCCAACTGGCACATTCCTTTATTTAACACATTACAACGTTTCGACCTTACTTCAGGCCCTTTTCAAGTAACAATACTAATCGAACATACGTAATGTTCGGATGTGCTTGTATTTTTATCGTTTGACTCTGTCTCACGGCTGGCGATGACTCGCTTTATATTGTTACTGGAAAAACCTGAAGATCGAAACGTTGTAATGTGTTAACTAAAGGAATTTGCCGGTTGGGTTGACAGTAAGCTCACTGCTTTAATTTATATATTATAACTTTAAAATTTATTATAATACAATTTTTGAAATTGTAAAATTTTACGATAACATCAATACCGTATGCGGACGTTGGATAGTATTCGTCATTGTACATGAGCGGTGTTATATCGATCAGGAAGTAAATCAAGATAGTGAACAGAAACAAGGGAGTTAAATAACACCAACAGAATCTCCAGTAAAAGAACGGCCGCCGTCCTACCATGAACTCAACATCGTCCATGAAATTGTCGACGCCTGGAAAATCAGCGAATTATTCTCTCTCAATTAATTTCACGCGAGAATAAAATATATTAGATTATTACCGTACACCCAGGCAATGGCGATCATTTCGAAGGAAGCTAAAAACACGATAATGAAGGTGCCGCCAAAGTAATCTACCAAGTTGAGAATGTACTGGCCGCCCTATCGATAAAATAAACACTGTTATTCTTTTAAAGTAACTTCATCAACTTTCTTAATAGCAGAAGCTCTATCTTAAAATTCCTCCCTCATTTATCGGTTTTATTAAGATTTCATTTCGTTATTATTGACAATAGACAAGTTGACTCTTCTACTTAATAAAAACAAAATTATTTTATAAAACCTACGGGCGTGCAATAAACGACGCCGATGGAGAATCCGAGGATCGCAACGCCGGCGGCGATCTTCCACTGATCAAGCCGCGGGAATTGGTCCTTGATGATGCTGATGATGACATTGCAGAAGGCAACGGTAGTGCCTATGCCCAGCACGAAGAGCATCAGGAAGAAGAGCACGGCGAAGAGCTGCGGTACCACCGTGAATTTCGCCAGGGCTTCCGGATAGGACACGAAGGCGAGGCCTGTCCCGGCGCGCACAACGCTCCCGATATCGTTGCTGCCGATCTCGTGGGCGAGATTGCCCAGGATTCCGAAGATGGTCGCGCCCGCCATCAAGCTGGTGCAAAGATCCAGACTCGTCACGATCATGCAGTCCCTGCAAGAGTCTTTGGCTGATTCTCTAAACTTGTTTACACGCATGAAATTTTGCTAGACTTCCTAGCTCGATTAATAATGTAACTACTAAAATAATTGCGCAAGTATATGCGCACCTCGATACGTTGTGTTCGAAGCTGTTGTAGGAGGAATACATGGTCACCGCGCCGAAGCACACGCCGAGGGAGAAGAACGATTGCGTGACGGCGGCGTACCAGACCGCCGGCTCCAGGATCTTGTGCCACGTGGGCTTGAAGAGAAAGACGATGCCGTCCACGGCTCCGTCCAGCGTTACCGCCCTCACCAGAAGGCTGATCATGACGACGTATGGGAAGAGGGCCAGGAAATAGGCCGCCTTCCCGGTGCTCTTCACACCCTTGCAGATCACCACGTAGACGAATATCCAGCTGGCTAGCAACGTGAGGACCAGCTTCCACGAGGGCAGTCCGAGTCCATCCTCGATCCCCGTTTCATTAAGGACGTATTCTCTGAATGCAGTTAGAAATTATTAGTTACTCGGGGGAAATTAAAATCCTGATCCTTCCAATGTTTTCCGCTGGATAAATAGACTTAAGACTGGTACAAGAAAAAAAATTTAATGAGACTTGTAACAAAGATTGACGAGAGAGATAATACTGGCAATTTTCCTGCATTACACACGTCGCAACTTAGTACATTATTATTATCGCGTAACTACAAGAGATACGGGCGGATTTTTATCCTGAATCTCGTCGCGAAGCAACATGTGCGCGCGTAACAGTAAAATACAAAATACAAAAGGCTCCTGGTGATTTACGGCTGATATTGTACGACGTGTCACGTGCGCAAACGGACGCGATAATAGTGTCATATTTAGATAGAAGGGTATTCCAGGGATCCCCAGGCGTCGCAGGCGCCACGAAATGCGGGAGGAAGATTAATGGCACCTGAAATAGAGATCGGCGGAACTTCTGCTTCCGTTTCTCGCTTGCTCGCCGATCGACGAGCCATTGAAACACGCGCCGCCCCATTCCTCCCAACAATAGGACCACGGGAGCACCGACTGGCAGCTGGCGACCAAGTAGTAGAGCGTCAGGGCCATAAGGGCGCAATAATAGGTGATGACGGAGAACACCGACACCGCTACGCCGTAGCCGATACCTAGAATGGTCCACGATTGTGATTAAATCCATTAATTGCGATTAAAATCCGAGCGTGCGCCAATATGTCCATTTAGCAATATTCGTTTAATATTGTATCAATATTAGATCAATATTTGTATTACATTGTTAAATATTGGCCGACGCACTTGCAATAGAAATCTGATATTGTATAATTATTGTCGTGCAATATTTACATATATTCCCTGATGGAAAAATTTTGCTGAAAACGCAATGAAATTTGCTGAAATTTGGTTGAAAATCTCTTGCAATTGACTCAATTTCATTATCATTTCAGCAATTTCTCATTAAAAAATTTATTTTCAGTGAAATTCTGAAAATTTCATAATATACATTTCTAAAATTTTTTCACTAATTTTTAGTAATATTAATTAACTTTCATCTAATTTCACAGTATTTCATTGAATTTCATAACGAAACTTATGATTTATTTTGAAATGGTTTCAACAAGTTTCCAATAACTTTCATTTCACTTTTCATCAATTTCATTACATTTTCAGCAAAATTTTTCCATTAGGGTTCCCTGGCCAATATTGGCTTTACGTTGGACAATACCGGCCAGTGCATTTCTAATATAACCAACATTGAACCAATGTTTAGCCAATGTTCAGCCAATGCAGGACATGGTTATAAGGTTACGAAAAAAAGTTACGTTCCCTGTTACTGGAGGCAGATCTCTCGAACGAGCAAGCTCCCGCTCATTTTGACACTGCAATTCGAGAAATTCCTATTAAATTCATGCGCTTCAACTCGCTCAAACGCTGAATCCTTGCGCTGCCCACTGTGCCGTTGCTTTATCAGGAGAACATGTCTCGCGAGGAGGTAAGAGGTTGTGAAACCGAGTTAAATTTCGCGCCCTGCGAGGGGCCGCAGTTCCCCGCGTGAAGTGAGCCGTTTTGTCGCGGGCACGTGACCAATGTCCGATTTCAAATGTTTGAGAAATCGCGACTTACTTCAGTTACATCTACGTTAAGGCTATTCTACAATTGCGTAAACGTGGTTGTTAGCGGTTGTACAGTGTTGTAAAACACAGTTTTAAACTAGCATTTCCGATTGTAAAGCCTGTTGTAAAAGATGGCTGAACTTGATCTTCCACGACTACAACGATACAGGACGTAAAAGCTAACTAATCATTCATTTCAATTACGACGTATCTCACTCTATTGTATATTACTTTGATGTACAACACTTACTACTACTTCTACTCCTACAACCCTACAACTACGTTTACGCAATTGTAGAATGGCCTTTAGTTTAACGTCCTCGGCAGCGGGCGCGGACCGCGCAAGGATTCAGCGTTTGAGCGAGTTCAGGCGCATGAATTTAATAGGAATTTCTCCAATTACAGTGTCAAAATGAGCGAGAGCTTGCTCGTTCGAGAGGCTGACATTTAAAGTACCCCCAAATAATCCCACTCGCTTCGGCAGCGGACGACCAATTTGCGATCCTTGAAGTGGCAGTTTGAGATGAAATAACGTAATTGCATTATATATGTGCAGTATGTAATTACGTTAGGGTACGTAACACGCAAGTAATACAATTGCAACACGTAATCTGTACTAATGTATTCTGAATTTGCATTTCTACGCGTCAAGCGACGACTTTCGGCATCTCGCCGACGAGATTGAGGCCCACGGGGAGCGCGTCCCTGGAAAATACCTTGAAACGCGGGCGACACCGACCAGATCTGCACGCAGGATCTGCTGGTGAACTGCCCGAGGATCATCTCCATGTAGTAGAAGGGTTTGCCGATGATGAAAAGTACAACTACGTAGGGGACCAGGAAGGCGCCGCCGCCGTTCTCGTAAGCCGTGTACGGGAACCGCCAGACGTTCCCGAGGCCGACCGAGAACGCCACGCAGGACATGAGGAACTCCAGCCCGTTTCCCCATTGCGCCCTCGCATTCTCGTCCTCCTCCTTCACCGACGTTGAGATCTGCGAACCCAGTGAGAAATGATTCGTCGATCGACGTCGAAATGATGTCGAATCGACGTCAATTCGCCGGTGTCGATGTCGATTCGACGTCGATCGACGAATCATTTCTCACTGGGAAGTAAGTTGCGGGGAGTTCGGGAAGAAAGCTTTCGCAATGGAGATCCCAATTAGCCTTGCGTGCCATTTCCTGCTCAACTTACTCTGCCTTCGGGCTCGTTTCCGCCGCTCGGCGACGGGACGGACAGCTTGAATATACCGGGGGTTCCGCCGGCGTCGGTCACATAATTCTGCGAAATCAATCACTTTGTTATCTGACAATTGTTTTCTACGGCGGAATAGGAGACGGACCGCCAAACGCGCGGCTGTAACGCGTGAGTTATGTTGCGCGTTCTCTGATTATGGTGTGTGTTTCATCAGACTGCCCTTAAAAAATGGGAGACCGCTCGCGATGTGGCACAATGCCGCAGGAATGCCCGCTCGATTTAGCTTGTCGCAGGCTATTCCAACGGGCGCGCTTCCTAATCAAATTAATTTTGCAGCGTATAATATTGTCCATTGTGTTTACAGTCGGCCGAATTTGAACACAAGGTACGCGGCTTGGATTTAACGTCATCGCGCCTGCCTTGCGTAACGTGGAAAAAAATCAACATAGATTGATTAACTGCATTTTGCAATCTTTGTTGGTGACAATTTAATTGAGGATCAATGTTGGAAAGAATTCCAAATCTTCCGCGATTATCTTGATACGGTCGTTTATGAGGATATTGTGTTTTATTGCCATTAACGAATTACTCACTCCCGACGAACATTATCCTTTATCTTATCGTCAAAGTGTTTAAAAATGCTTACAACGATAGCATAGCTTTTACAACAAATTGATCAGTTTACGAAAACAAGGTAGAACAACAAGAGAATGATATCGCCTAATATTTTAAGTCTAGTATTTTCTAACGCAACACATTTTTCTCTTAATTAATTCGAATATAACACGTTCTATTACATTTTTGTAATTTCTAGCGTTGCGCCAGCGACGAATCTAAACGGTGTGCAAAGTCGCAGTCTACGAATTGATTTCTGACATTCTTCGGACAAATATCCACGATACACAATGGCAGTCGTGCGATAATGATTAACGGCTGTTTGGAGAAATGAAGGTAAAACGAGGCCGCATAAACGACGAATGGAATATTTTCGCAAACGCTCACGTCTACTTATTCGCACAAATGGGATCGCGTCATTTTATACAAACGGAGATTATTCATGTAATTCGATGGCAATTCGCAAAGGGCTTTAAATTTCAGCTTCGATGAGGAACTTCGCTCGTTAGAAGTCGCGAGTCAATTCGCTCGTTGTAAGTTTCACCTTGTCAAATTGAAATGTTACAGCTCGAAGAGAAGAGCGCATTTGACGATGCGAAATCGAAGATGCGAAAGACATTTACAATTTGTATATTAAAAGCTTCCTAATTAACTTGTCACCTTCCACTTCTTGACGTCAGTCTTAACAGTAAGAATAGAGGCATTCCTGGAAAGATCTCTTCCTTTCTCGTGACTCTTTCCCCGCGCATCTTTTGCGCCTTCTCTCGAATGTTAAGCTAATTGCGATCGACAAGTTTACAACACGAAATTATTTCTTTATATTGTAACATACGCGAATGTTCATGTGACCCATGCTGGCTCCGTTGCGGCACGAGGCGTGTTATCGTCCACTACTTGGCTCTCTTTTTTTTTTCTCTCGAATTTTGCGCGCGTCTTAGCCAGCCGGCAGTCTTTGACGGACTGCTTAAAGAATTCGCGCGACGTTTGACGTATCCGTGCATACAGATCTGCAATCCTTTCCGTCAGATTAAAGCGCGCGCACGAGTAGTCGCGGTAATCGCGCTCGATCAAACTTCCACGTTTTTCTTTCCCCTCCACGTCCTCCTCGGTCCCACCTATTTTGTCACATCTTGCACCATCCCATTTGTTCTGCATAAATCTTCATTCGTACATGCGTGTGCAATAGTAGCAAGGCGATTGCGTAGCAGGGAGTCTTTTTTTCTCTTTCCTTTCTGGATTTCCGCCTGCGTTTAATCTCGCGAGCGATACAAGAACGTACTTCTCGGTGCGGTTTCTCCTCGCTCGCGGAAGAGAAAGAGCAACAATCGGTACTTACTTCAGGCAGGAAATCTTTACATTGAATCTCGTTTCTTTCTTTTTTTTCTTCTTGCAGGCGAACGGCGTATCTTGTGCGAAATTTACATCGAGAAGGTGTAACGAAACAGATGTGACGATACATCGGGAAATGCTTCTGCGTTATGAACGAGCGACAGATGACTTTCTTGCAGACGTGAATTGATCCTACGCTATGCCGCACGCTGTCTGTTTAAAGATTCGCACCTGCCAAGTTTCATCAATGAGTAATTCGAATGACATCTTATAATGAAGACGTGTCGAACGTATGCGACGATTAACCGCAATTGATTTCGTCATCTCGTTGATCCTGCGCTTCGAAGCGAAACTAAAATGATGAATGTCATCGGGGATATTCCGCTTTGCGAAATAACGAAGCTGCCCCGGAGATCAATATACACAGTAGAAAATTATCGATATTGCGCTAAATTACACAAGTGTAATTGCGTAAACGCACAAGTCGCGGACAGCTTGTTTAATTTACGAAATAAGATAATTGATTTGAGATAAAGTCCGCCGAGTCTTCGGTGTTAATCGAATTCAATTCGATCGGTCGTCCGCGGCTTCAAGTAACGCGTTCTGCCGCCCTCGTCAGTTGCGTGATGTAACTTCTTTCATCTCAAGTACGAGCAAACGAGGAAAGCTTATCGGGACCGCGAGTAAATTTCAATTATCGAGCGCGCGCGAGCAGTGCTGCGGATAGGCGAGAGCACAGTTGAGCGGATTTCTATAATGACACGTTTCGTCTGGCTGCTTCCTGATATCCACGTAATAATAAACCGGCACACTTCTAAAGAGGAGAGAACCGAACTAAAGGATTACGTTGAACCACATAAATTTAATCATCCTGTTATTATGTAATCCGGCTGGCGACTTGTAATCGTCCGCGTGTAATTAAACAACAACGTTTCGACGCGCTCGCAGATCAAAGACGCAAATCAGAAGGTACGTTTTATTGTTCACTTTCGAGATTCAAGTACATTTTTTCAGGTACTTGTACTGATTCGGTATTGAGGTGCTTTGAAAATATATTTTTTAAATTGTCGACTACATTTTCGTAGAATATAATGAAATAATTTCTTTTCTACTTCATTAAACTAGCCAAGAGGTTGAATAGGAATACATAATTGACTTAGATGGGCAGGGAAGCAATAAATAAAGAGCTTCTACTTAAAAAATATTGTCATCAGACCGCTTTGAGCGTCAAACTTTTTCTCCGTCACAAACGTTTCCCATTCTCTGTGTATCTTCGGGTTCTTAGGTCCCCATTTACCTCCTGCGGGCCGAAACGCTGCCTTGACGGACTGTAATGCGTTTTTAAATTTCGAAGATTAATTTGCGGCTTCAATTTTAACTACTTGGTCAATTTCATTCTCTCGAGATACCTACTTCGGTGAAAGACGACGTTCTATTTGTAATTATTTTCTGGCCGGCCCACCACACGATGGGAGACACTCCCAGAATCAGCACGAACCATCCTATTCCTAAAAGTGGAAAAACAAAAATGTCGCTCTGTAATGATAAGTTTTAAAGTGATAAAAGTTACGATTTTGCGTACTGCGCAAAAGAAATGTTCGAAAACTCGAATCTATGATGTGTGTGTGTGTGTGTATAAAATTATAAAATTGAACAAATTTCACTGACCGTAGGCATAATCGGGAAACGGTGCACCGTCATACGTGGGTGGCTCATAAGTGGCGCACGTGTAAATCAGTATGACGATCATGAGCAAAGGCGTGATTACGAGCCAACAGGATCGCCAGTAGAAGCCTAATCTCTTGCCCAGCATGAATTCCATGTCGTTGAGGAAATTTCTGAGGCCGTACACCCAGAAGATGGTCATCATCTCGAGAACGCCGACGATTATCGCCACAAAAGTACCGCCGTAGTAATCGATCAACGTTATGAACCATTGGCCGCCCTGTGGTCAGCAATTATTATTGAACGTTAACACGAAATCGATGTGTTCTAGTGAAAGTATTTCTATCATACATTTCTGAAATTTAAAAAAACCGTAGAAATTGTATTTAACAACGATCGAGCTTCTAATCGACCATGACTGGCGATGTGTTTTTAATACAGAAAATTTATTGCGAAAAATATTACCTCAGCCAGAGTTTGCACCTGGACCTCCCTACACTCTAGGCGGGCGTCTCACCAATTCGGCCACCGAGGCATATGATAATATTTGTCGCAATAACAGTATAGACGTTGTCTACGCGTATATTTTCGATTTGTGAACTGCGCACCGATACGGGTTGTCGGTTGTACACAGCACTATCGAAACGCGATTTTTACGTATCCCCGTTTCCTTAGGTGATACTTGTCGCAATAAATTTTCTGTGTTAAAAACACATCGCCAGTCATGGTCGATTAGAAGCTTGATCGTTGTTAGTCATTTGCTGGCGTCAAATAATTCTTGATGAAATTGTATTTACATTACGATTGAGAGCAACGACTCATTGGATTCCAATGGAATTGGAACATTAGGATAACAATGTTGTCTTTTTTTGTAATTTTTTTAAATCTCTAAACTCTAATCTTCATTTATCTAGCGTTTAATGCGTCGTCTACAATTCATGGAGTAAGGAGTAGGAGTGAGGAAATAAATCAATTTTATTTCTTACTCCTACTCTTAAGCTCTTACGCTTATTCTCGGTGAATTAGAACGCCATCGGCCGGTGTTACAAATATGTTAAAAATTATGCCTGTATCTTAGTTTCCTTACACGAAAAGCTAAAAGTTATAGCTTTCTCTTACTCCACGTATTGTAGACAACGCTTAATATGTAATGATTTCAGTGTTAATGGTTTTACGTGCACTTCTATATCGCTCAAACACGTGCACGATTAGTTATCAGGTATCGGTTAGACGCGTAACACTTATGACTAATGTTTGTGTCAACTGTGTGCATTTTAGAGCAAGCTCGGGCGACCTGTTTAACGCACCGGTGTGATATAGACGAGACTGACGACGAAGCCGAAGCAGGTGACGCAGAGCACCAACAACCACTGCCTCATCTTGGGCAAATGGTCGCGGAAGATGCTAAATACCGCGCCGCACAGCGCGACGGCGCTTCCAGTGCCAAGAACGAACAGCATGACGAAGAATAGGACGGAGAACAGCTGCGGGACGAAGGTGAAGCGCGATAGCGCGTCCGGATAGGAGATGAAGGCTAAACCGGTGCCGCCGCGAACCACCTTCGCGATGTCCTTTGTTTTCATCTCGTGAGCCAGATTGCCCAAGATACCGAAGATCGTGCAACCGGCCATCAGACTGGTGAATGTGTCCAGCGTGGTCACTATCATCACATCCCTGAGGAGGTAAGCAGAATAAAATAGGGGACATTTGTCTTTCACCTTGGAACAAGTTCTTCAGAAACTAGGATCGAGGAGCTCGCAATAACATAAAGGCTTTCCCTATACGTTACCTGTCCACCCTGTGCCCGAAATTGTTGTAGGACGAGTAGTTGATAATCGGCCCGAAGCAGACAGACAACGAGAAGAAACACTGCGTGATAGCGGCGTACCAGACGGTGGGTTTCCACAGGGCGTCCCATTTCGGCGTAACGAAGAAGAGGATGCCGTCGACTGCACCCTCGAGAGTCACGGCTCTGACCAGCAGAGCCGTCATCACGATGTAAGGAAATATAGCGAGGAAGTAGGCGGCTTTGCCTGTGCTCCTCACGCCGCGGAAGAGCACCCCGAAGACGCAGGCCCAACTCAGGAACAGACCTATCGACAATTGCCAGGACGGCGCGCCGATACCGCCCTCGATGGACTCGTATTCCTGTAATACCGTCTTCCTAAAGATTATATGAAAATATTTGATATTACATATATTTAATATTAACGATCCTCGCAAATGTTATCAAAGTTTTCAAAAAGCTATTAATGCTTTTCAGTCTCGAACCTGAAATACAGCTCCGCGGAACTTCGAACGGTGACGTTACGGCCCTCGGAGATACTGTTGTTCGTCGAAATATCGATACAATAGTCCTGCCATTCCGGACGACAGATCGACCACGGTAATTCAGATTGGAAACTCGACACCAAGTAGTGCAGGGTCAATGCCATCAAGGCGCAGTAGTACGAAACGACGCAGAACGCGGCGAAAGCCTGCGAGTATCCCAATCCTGAAAGTGGATCTCGAGGAATGGCACAAATAATCTCGTAGGATTGCAGGATCCAAGGAAATTAAGTCGAGGGTAAGCTCGATTTGACATTCACGAACAAGAATGTTTATTATAAAATTAATTCTTGAACACTTGACAAGTTGTTGAGAAATTTTTTGTAACGTTTAAAATTTTTATGCCGCCTTCAATACTATCAATCAAATCTCGAGTAAGTTTATTGTTTAAATAAGTAAAAATATTTATTATTTAAGTAATTCGATTAAGTACCGTTTAAAGAAATCTGAAGAACATTTTCCGACGAGTATTCACAGTTTAAATTCATCGAAATCACGTTATCATTACCATTAGTTTTTGCAGATCTTCGTAAAACAAGTCGTGCGCATTCAAGGATTAAATTAATTCTGTTGCAAAACGATCATCTCACCCTTCATGGCCGGCGTCATGTACCACGTTTTCGCACAGGATCTACTGGTGAACTGTCCTAAGAGACCCTCCAGGAGGTAAAACGGTTTCCCGACCAGGATCAGGACTATGATGTAGGGTATCAGGAAGGCGCCACCGCCGTTTTCATATGCGGTGAACGGAAACCTCCACACGTTTCCCAGTCCAACGGAAGTGGCTATACAGGCCATCAGGAACTCTAGTCTACCTCCCCATTCCGCCTCCTTGGTGACAGTCTGACAATCAAGAATTTATTTTCTGTAATCGATGTTATTTCCATTAATTTGACGCGACGATGTCTATAATACGCACTGAACTTTCAAGATGCTCCTGCTGTTTGTCAAGATGCGTCGCTGTCGGGTAATCTGGTGGAATATTTTCGTGAGAATCGAAACCGTCCAGCTGAAAGGCCTCGTTAGTGTATCCACTTTGTTTCTGGGAAAAAAAGACGCTCGCGAATAAATTTAATAGGAAATTGCGATGTCTGGACTTTACGTATTTTACACATAATTTTAGGTCTTACATGAACGTCGTCGTCTCTTTTTTCCGTTTTAGCCATTATGTCGCGCATGAAACGCGAGACGCGAGAAACCAAGAATCAATCTTCAAACTTTTGATCTGCGACGACGGAACGTTAATTGCGGACTTTTTCCACTGATGAATATCGAAGTCAGGCTCCCGTGGCAATCACAGAGTAGAGCGATCTTTATCCTATCTTCACTCACGGATATACTTCGCGATAAGATACTGAACCAAAGTAGCACTCTTGCGATATTCCGAACGAGATCACGATTCTCTTCTTTGCACTTCGCATTCACAGTTTGCAATATTTCCGTGAGATTTTACAGCTAAACGTTGTATTGGTGCAATAAGTGTTAATACTTTCCGCGCAGCGATCACTCGCGAGCTTTACTCTGGCTCACAGATTTTTCACTCAGAGTATTGATAATTTACAGATTTCTACGAGATCCAACGGAGTCCGCCAAGATGCAATTAATGACTGAAACTTCCCTTGCCCCGCAGCGAAGATAACGACCCATCCGGAAATGGGACAATTTCATGCACCGTCGCGTCTGCGATCGATGAAAATCAAAGATACCGGTGCGCTCCTTGCATCCACACCGCTCGAGGACGCAGCTCCGAGATCTATGCCGCTCGTCAGCCACCGATTGGTCAACAAATCCGCGTAAAGTCGGATATAATACTGTCCTTCGATTAGATACCAGTTTTCCGTGCCACAGACACGCTATTTCACGTGTATCACGTGCTCCGTTTTTCACCTCCTCCTCCTGACATGTGTGGTAAACCAGCATTTTTCAAGTTGTTTGATATATCTTCAAGGATCTCTCATAGCATACGTGAACTCGGCATGCAGATATCAATAGGAACATTCCATGTCCGAAAGTGATTGCTGTTGGACTACAATTTGCTAAAAGTGCTTTTTAGTTAAATTCCTCCACTGTTAGGAATTCCACCAAAAACAATTAGTTATAAAAAAATGTACGAAATTAGAGTTGGCTTTCGATGATTCCAAGTCTGATAAATTTTACGCATTCCATTAATTTATGTACTCCAAGTTTCGTCTCATTTCTTATCTAATTTCTTAGTCCTCGAGAGAAACGCTTGACAAATAAAGATATTCTAAGGCATTTTTTTAAGTAATAATATACATTTTTTCCAGAATATATTGTCACTGTCAACGTTTATCAATAAAACTAACGGGTGAAGATAATTTTAAGTCAATTTACGTCATCTAAGAGAGTGTGCGTGGAAATAGGAATTCAAGCCAGTGCAATTCCAGAAATAATTTATTATCGTTATTTGATTTGCATTATTTCTTAATTAGTTTCCTGAAGAATACCGATGACGACGTTTGGTCGGCAGCATTGTAAAAATTAATTACGCAATTGTATTATCTTGGTCAATCGCGCTGTAGAATAAGTAAACGTTTACACAATGTGCATTCGTATTTGAAATTCTTTAAGTACCAGGATATGGATTGCTTAAACAAAAACGAGACTGGGTCAAGATCGTAAAGTCATAAAGACTACAATCGTGTGACGCGTCGATAGGATTGTCGGATTACCTTTACGGATCTCGGTCTGATAGCAGAAAAAGAACGAAACGAGACACGTGGAAAACGTCACCGGGAAATCGTGCATTGGTTGATCAATATCGCCGCACAGAACGAACTGCGATATCGTTAAGATTAGCCAACGATCATAATTTTTCTTGAATATTCAGCGTTTTCTTCGTACCGCCTTTGCGTGGCAAATTACTCTGAAAAATGTCAGATTCTTTCTCACCTAAATGAAATGACTGTGACACTCGTAGTGATACGTATAAGAATTTGCGAAACTCACAATGAGCTCATCCATAAAAGATTCCTTATTAAACTTAACTTATTCGCTATAATCAAGTCGATAGATAAATTTTCTCGTTAACGAATCGATTTACTAATTGAAGCTGAAAGGAACTTGTCGACGAAGTCGTACTTCCCTTACGAAAAAGTAACGAAATAATTACTAGAAAATTACTGTATATATCAGTAATTGAACTATTAGAAATTACTGATGTACAGTAATTTTCTAATAATTATTTCGGTGCTTTTCCGTAAGGGTTCGCATATCTCTATTACTCTCTTTTTGTTAAACAGCACTCGTACGTAAGTCCTAGCACACAGTTATTGATATTTATAATGTATTGATTCGTTATCAGCGAAAATGATAAAAGTAGTTCATCTCTCTCGCGTGATTATCGATTTTATATCAATATCAACTTGTATAAAACGCATTTTTTTATATGTTCAAGCTGCACCTTTATGTAAATGTAATAATAACAGTATTCACTTACACTCTTACAGGATATAAATGGATAAAAAGATAAAATTAAATGCGTACGGCTATCTTCGCCGTAATTATTTCATAGTTATTTAAAGAATTTTGCGTTAATATTCCGTATAATATTTTACGTGTATAGTCTCGGAAGAGCTAAGAAAAGTTAGATATCAAGGACACAATTCATTGTCCGCATAAGCGCAAAATGACTGTCGATTCGATGTCGCGATGCCTTTGTCAGACTTTTCAATCGAGCAATCTCTCTGACGAGAATGACACGACGGAAAATCGTATATATTTTCGGAGAGCAATATTTAAAACGGTCCGAGGACAATCTGTGAGTAACAATCGATTATGGACAATTTGGGCGGCGTGTATTATCTGGTCCAGTTGGTTGTCCAGCAGATTTTGATATTTCTGCGAGTACGTTCCTAACGTTTAAATCGTGATTGAAAAACTGACAATACTATTCCCATTGCATTATTATGCCGACGTTATTGTATTCTTGTTATATTCTTGTTACTCTTGACCGACAACAACCGGCTTTTCGGCGAGTTATGCGAACTTTTATCTCTCGTGTATGTAATGTGCAGAACTTCGTCTTCCACGAGTTTACGTGGTTCGCCCCTGCGGAGGAGGCTTTCGATAATGAGGATTCGAAGATACGGGCCGTCGCGCCGCAGCATCCCGCCACCGACCTTCTGGTGTTCCTAGCCATTTGCGGGCTCCTCTTCGTATTCATGATACTATCTTCAAATTCCCCCAAAAACGGAGCGCCGAGCTACGACACCAGCAACATCGAAACGTGAGTTTTCATTGTCCGACAGCCGTTGAGAAAGGGAGGACTTTAATTGGTTGAAATTATTTTTTCACGCGCGATATATTAATAATTATTATAATAAAAACGTAAAGATTTTACCAACATTTATTTCCATGTTTCTGCGACTAAATAGGATTTCTATGGCTCTCAGAGAGGATCCGTCGTCCTTCTGGTACTCGAGAACCGCGGGATTGACGAACTGCTACCACGCTTGCGGCGACTCGATTGCTCCATCGCGCGACGTCGCTTCCAAGATGCCGAATGTCTCGCGTCGAGCTGTCTCAAACGCCAAGATGTCACCACGTAAAGATCTAAGCGAAACAAATCAATGAACATTAATATTAAGCCCTTTGATACTATTCCTGAAAAAGAGACGACTGCGAACGAAGATTATCTCTCCGCGATTCGTTCACGAGATGAGAGAAACTGTGCGCTTTGCTTTCGACATTTTCTAAAATTTCCTGCGATAACGAACCTTGCATTTTCAACACTCTGTCGCGCGATATCGCAGACACGCGACGCAAGATAACGCATGTGTTTGATAGAATCTATTTCACGAAGTTAATCCTTTCTCCTCTGTCTTTGTTTTAGAATCTAGAAGCTTGAATTACAACGCGCGTTCTTGCTACAGTAAGCATTCACAAAAGACGCAGGCGAGTCGCCCGGTTTCTCAAATGACACCTCGGGAATGGTTGATAAGACGCACTAGAAGCGGTCACGTCTATGGAAAGTATCCAGTTTAGATCAAGTGATCTCGACGTCGAGGCCAATGAAGGAACCTAATCGTAACGACACAACTCGCCGTTTAATTCAAGATAAAAATATCTTCTCCGAAAATAACTACGATAACTTCCTCGAGCATTCTTCGGCAATTTTTGACAACTATTTTCGACAATTATATAACTGTTTTCCTTGTTGTTGTTTGTATCGTCTTTTTACCGTGCAATTTTCCCCAAGATTGGTTTTTATATTTTTATCAATGTTTATACGTTGCGCGTATCACCAGATATAATCCCTATAGATGGAATTACATATGTTTATAATCGATTTATAACGTGCGTTAATAAACGCTTTACGACAGTCTGAGTTCTTACCGATTGGTTCGGCGTTTTTAACGGCGATTAATCTATTATATTTCGCGTATGCGTTATCGGTAGATAGCGAGATGCATGAGCTCCATCAGCAATTTATTGCACTGTCTGTATTGCCTGCCATAAAACGAAAGCCGTCCCTATCTCCGCGGACAGTGTCTTTCGCGTTTGGATTGTGTGGATTACGCACATAAAGATTGAGCTCGATCGGAGTTGTTCGTGTTGAGGAATTCGCGTTTTACGATCGAGAACTTGCGGTAGAAACGTTCTATCGAATCTTGCAATTTTTTTTTAAATTGTCACTGGAGTTATCTTTAACAATAAGACATAACTCAAAATATATACGGAGAGAATTTCCTTTGAAAATTTACTCTGAAAATCATGTAATCGCGTTACAACATGGCATTTAAGAACTTTATGAGAGTTTGAAATTTTACCATACATTTTACTAGTAATTGTACATACATTTTACTATAATATAATTACTAGTGAAAAGTATATGGTAAAATTTTTTTAAAACTTCAAAGTGTCATGTTGTTCCACGATTGCATGATTTTCAGGATAAATTTTAAGAGAAAATTCTCTCCGTGTATAAAATATAAAGATGAAGAATATATAAAGTGTAACACTGCCGTGAAACACAATACGAACAGAAACGAGTAGAGCAAGAAGGAAAATACATAAATTTCGTGCTGCAACTTATGTAAATATTGTTATGCATAACACGAATACATTATTGCAAGATATACAAGCAATCAATTATCGCGGTTGGCTGATTAGTAAGTGCGGTTACGAGGCAATCTGATTCATCGTAAGCTACGCCACGAGGGGATTTCTATTGATAAAAAATGCATCATTCGAGAGCGAGAAGGGAATTACCCGTTAGACAGTTATTATATATGCACATACATACAATGAGATAAGACACGTTACGAACGATTAAAAAATTATTAGATATGCTTCTCGTATCTTCCAATTTGTATTATTAGTTTAATTATTAGTGATATAAACATTATTCATTAATAACTTTATGACGGCAATTATGTTATTATTTAATTTGACGTGAATCTTTATTGCTAAATAATTCGCTATATGCTTATTCTTCGAACAGCTGATCCCGATCGATGAAACTATGGCAACGTTAAGGAAACAAACCTCTGTCATCGTTCACGGTTCAAGTGAGGGTGGCAGGTCGGACGGGCAGTCCTTTTTTTCCTTCCTGTCATATTTAACGATCATAAATCCACGTAGATCGCGATAAGAGTCATCGGACAATTCGCTCCTCGGTTCATTCACGGTCGCCGTCATACAGACTCTGAGAGCAATCGTCGAGGGACGCGCCGATGGACACTCCTCGGCTCCGACCATGGATATCAAGGACAGCAGCGAGGAGGAGGACGAGAGGACGCACGACATCCCGGCCTTCGGTAAATTCGACGAGGCGATCGTGGTGCGTAACGCCGAGGAGATCAAGAGCCCGGTGAGCCACAGGCCCGCGAGCTCCAAAAGGACCAGGAGGAGCATGGCGAGCGACAGCACGAGCACGTTCGCGTCCAACTCGCCGCGCGGCGGCAAGCACGATTTCCGGAGGTAATCGCGACGGGGCTAGCGCGAATCGCGGCTTATTACCGCCGTTGATTAACAGTAATCGCGCCTTCAGCGACGTCGGCTTCGTACAATTTTCCTGCAACACATTTCTTCCTCGCGTGACTAATACGTTTCAATTCGGCAGATACTCGGGCAACGATGTCGGCTTTGAGAAATCACTGGGGCTCGGCAGCGATCCTTCGGACAGCGAGGAGACCGACGACGACGACATACAGGGTAGCAGCGTCGCGAAGCCGATCGACCTGTACGATCCGAAGGAATTTGAGAATCTGGAGGCTTCGACGGAGGTCAAGGAACTGTTCCAAAACATAATAAGGCAAGCGGTTCCCCCGCAAAAATTTCCGGGTTGATTTGCCACGCCGGAGCTACAGTAGCCAAATGGGAAAACAGTATTAGAAAAAAGCTTAAAATTGTGGTAAGAAAATTCTCGATAAAACCATTCATCTCGGCCGTCAATCCTATCCAGGTACACGCCGCAGAGGCTCGAGCTCAACTACAAGCTGATACCGTTCGTTCCTGACTACATACCGGCGGTCGGCGACATAGACGCCTTCATAAAGGTGCCGAGGCCTGACGGTGTCGAGGACAAGATCGGCCTGACTGTGCTGGACGAGCCGTGCACCGATCAGTCGGATCCGGCGGTGCTGCATCTGCAGCTGCGCAATCACTCGAGGAGCGCCGGCGCCGCGGCGAGGCAGGCGGTCGTCAAGAGGATAGAGGACGCCGAGAGGAACGGCAAGTCGATCGACAAGTGGATCGACGATATGAATCAACTGCACAGGAGTAAGCATCCGCCAGGCGTGCAGCTGAGCCGCGCGATGCCGGACATCGACGGGCTGATGCAGCAGTGGCCGGCCCAGGTCGAGGACAGGCTCAACGAGCTGCAGCTGGATCTGTCCGAGCTCGACTGCGATCTGCCGCAACTCATCGACGTCGCCTGCAACCTCCTGGACATTCCCACGCGGGAGAGCCGACTGGAGGCCCTCCACACGCTCTTCACGCTGTATCTGGAAATCAGAAACGTCGACAGCCATAACTTTAGTTAGCTTTAGTTAGCGTTCGACGTAACAGAATGTGTAGTTAACGAGACATTAGGAGTCACGTTTGTTGTACTTGTAACTCGATATGAATTCCATGTATCGGTAATCACGCAAACGCGAATTGTACGGATCTTGGTAGACGTAAGATTTGACTGTAAATGATCGCAATCGCCTCTCAATACTTTAAACATCCATCCTGCCTGGTGTACTGTATCTGCGTTCGACACTGCAAATCCGAGGGCTCGAAGTTCTCGTTTGCATTCGAGTGAGCGAGAGAAGAGAATGATAGAAAGGGGGGAAAAAAAGTACTCCGACGCCTCGGATTTGCAATGTCGAACGCAGCCCATGTACGTTCAGCCTCCCCCGAGGGGAAGTGAACAGTGAAGATGATGTCAATTAGAAGGCAAAGGACCGACGCGTAGTTTAGAGAGAAACCCGAGAGCTGCCACGGTTTTAGGTGATCCTCGAATGCGATCTCGTGTATTATTTCGCGCTTTCAACTTGGAAACGGCCAACAAATTGTACTCGAAGCAACGAGAGATTCAGTGCGATACAAGACGTGTCCGAATGCGAGTATCGATTAAAGAAGTAATTATTGTCCGTAATTTCAAGTTAGCTAGCGCTCTCTTTAATTCTCGGACATGTAGATGTGTGGATCTCGTGTGAATCGCGCTA